TTTTTTACAAAGCTAACCTTTGCCTCACCATACAATTTAGGGAAAACTGAGTGGCAGGGAATGGAGACTTGATATACAGTATGCAGAGATTCTGAACATTCTGTTTAAGTTTTTGGTAAATGAAAAAAATTCTAGAGATGAACAAGTTTATTTTGCATGATTTTGTTTTCTAATAAAAAAGTTTGAAATTAAATGTTTTCTGTTCAGTTGGTTTTTCTTTTTTGTGGTACCAGGAATTGAACTCAGAACATAGCATTTGCCATGCATGTGTCTATGCCGCTGTGCTCTCTCTCCAGCTCTTGTCTATTTTGCTCATTCTTTTGTTGATGTTCTTGTTCCATTGGTAAATAATTCACCTGTACACAAAATTACTGGGCAATATTATTTTACCTAGGAGATCAAAGTAAGTAGATCTTCATTGATGTTTTCTAAGAGTGACATTACAGAATAACCTTACACATTGTGCATAGTAGGAATGTTTCTGTTGAGGAGCAGGAGGTGAAAGCTAAGCTTTTAGATGTATAGTTCTTTTTAAAAAATTTTTCATTTATTTATTTATTTTTTGCAAAACTGGGGATTGAACTCAAGCCCTTGCAGTTGCCATGTTATTCATGTTTGAATAACATGAATTCCTAGGTTATGTAAACTTGAATAATTCTGCATATATACAATAAGTGCTTATTCCACTAAGCCATCTCCCCAGCCCCCATAGATGTATAGTTCTTTATGCTCCTTAAGACAGCTATTTGGAAATGTACATTTTGAGAACTTGTTCATTTCGAACACACACACACACACACACACACACACACAATTTTAAGTGTTGCAAACTTTTAAGCTATTCGTTTAATCTGAAAAGTCACTTTCTACAGGGAAAATAAAATACCACCAGTAAGGTTCAAAGTTTTGAGGATTTTTCTTTTTTTTTTTTTTTTTTGGAACCAGGGATTGAACTCAGGCTCTTGCGGTTGCCAGGGAAGTGCTTATTCCACTAAGCCATCTCCTCGGCCCCTGATGTCTTTTGAAAAATAATGGTTCAATTAGGATTAGTACATTTGGAAAATGCCTTCAATGTTTTCGTTCGGAACAGTATTTACTTTTGTTGGTGGAACATGCGCAAGTTTAGAAACTGAGAAAGTGTGAATTTCTCTTTGTCACACACATTCCTTTAGATGATAATTATATTTCCAGCTACTACACTGACAACGCCCAATGTGTCCAGATTGCCCTTCCCCCACACTTCCTTTCTAATCACCAGCCACCCATAATATAGCACAGGTGAATGTCATCTTGCTCAGTAATTCTCCATCCATCATAATGATAAAATTTAATAGTTTCTTTATTTAATCAAGATTTTTACTTTGAATTTTCAATACATAGTCTCCAGATTTATTCCATTTAATGCATTAAGTTGAAAACAGGCAGCAGTAGTGGAATGACCTTGGAATGCTAAAGCAGAAGCAATGCAAGCTGGAGTCCACTCAGGGCAATTTAGTGAGTAGGCGAGACCCTGGCTCAATAAAAAA